TCAAACCCTGCCTTTTTGCTGTGTAACCTTGAGCAATTTACTCAGAATTTTTTTGCATGACTTTTATAGCCAGGTTCTACTCTTTTTTATTTCTTTTTATTAAATTTATTGGGGTGGCACTGATTAATAAAATTATACAGATTTGGGTGCACAATTTAAGTTACACTTTCCAAGCCTCTTTTCTCACCTATATCATGAGTGTAGCAGTTGACCATCTCACAGAATTTCTGAAAGAATCAAATGATATGTCACATGAAATACTTAAAACAATTTCTGACATATGGTATATGCTTCAAAATATGCTGATTGTTATTATCATTATTGATATTTTAAGTGAAAATCTGATCATGTTTATCAGGATCTCATCTTTTATAGTGTATTGACTTCCAACCCTCTGCTGTTCAAATCTTCCTTATCATAAAAGGCACACACACAGAGAGAGACCATCAACACCACCAACACCACCAATACCACCAATACCAACACTACCATCACCAACAGCAACACTGATGACATCACAAATATCATCATATTTGTGTCTACCTAATGAATTTGACAGATGTTACCAATAAGTCATGTTGACTTGTGGGGAAGCATGGGACTTGGTTGGAAAGTCTGTAAGGAGGATTCTCCAAAAGGTCAGAGGTTTCTAGGAGGACCTTGCTGAAGGCAGCAGGTTCTGCCTTAACTTCTCCAAACAAGTCCGGGTGTTTTACTAGAATCTCTATGTTTAGTCTTTAGACCCAATCTTGTAGAACTTTCTCAAGGATACTTACCCTGCTGATTATATCTAGAGCAGCGGTTCTCAACCTGTGGGTTGCGACCCCTTTGGTAGTCAAATGACACTTTCACAGGGGTCGCCTAAGACCATCCTGCATGTCAGATATTTACATGATGATTCATAACAGTAGCAACAGTACAGTTATGAAGTAGCAACGAAAATAATTTTATGGTTGGGTCACAACATGAGGAACTGTATTTAAAGGGCCAGAAGTTGAGAATCACTGATCTAGAGGTTCATTTTGGTTCAAGCTGTTGTTGCAATAAAAGCCTAAGGAGGCAGGTGAACAGGGCTGTTTGGTCCCTATAGCCAAGCAGCCTCTTAGCCCTCTCTTTCACAGAAGTATGCGTCAGAGTAATCTATTCATCTGTCACTCAGGGTCTGCTGGTCAGTCCCGGCATTGACTGGGGATGCTGAGGAGCCCAATAAAGTCAGAAGTGATACAGCTGATTGAATCTACCTTTGTGCTCACAGCAAGAAATCACCAATGAGGTAGTTACCTGAGCGACTGCCCCACCCATCTCCATACCATCCAAAGACATTGGGAGTCATTCATGCATGTTTTCCTTCAAACAGTCTCATTGCTCATTCTCTCATTTCATTCAGGTTTCTGCTTAGATATCACCTCCTCAGAGAAGTCTGCCTTGACCTATATAGAATAAGAAACTCAATAAATATTCCCATCATTCTCTTTTCTCTTTCCCCTAGCTTAACCCTAAACTCTAACCTTAAATGTCTGTCTGTCTGTGTGTGCATACTTATGGCCTTTCTCTCCAGGTAGAAAAAAAAAAAATCTCCATGATGGCAGGGTTTTTATATTTTATCTTTTTTTTGGTTTACTTATCATTAGAACAATATCTCATGCAGTATGTGTTCAATGAATAGTTATTAAGTGAGTGAGTAAATTTAATTGTCAGCTAAGAATTTAGAGGCAAATTACCCTAATTTTTAAGTGAGGCCAAAGGTCTTTGGAAAAATAAAGTATTCCCATGTTCACTACAAGGAGATTTATAAGGAAAAGAAGACCATTGCAGTACAGTTCATGTAAGAAAAACAAAACAAAACAAAAACCCCAACAAAGTAGCCTTCACTACATAACTCTTAATACACATTTGTAAAAGCATAGATTTTATATTTTTCTGTTTATTTTCAGGATTGGGGTTTTTCTTCTTATGAAATAGATTTCCAGGAATAAACCCCACTCTATAACATTACATCTAGAGGACCTAGCTCTCCAACCTATGACTAATGTCCAGAGCCAATTCATTCCTACATCATCAGTTTCCCTAACTCGCCAGCTCCCTGCCATCTCCAGGTAAGAGCCAGGCTCCTTAGCAGACAAGTAAGGGGGGACTGGGTCTACTCCATCCCTCCTCTCATCTCCCGCATCCCTCCATCTCATCGTGGTGCTGAGATGCTTCCGGTTCACCTCTGCATGCCTTGGCTCATGCCGCCCCTCAGCCTGCAGGGCCTCTGGCTCCCTGTCCTGCTGCACACCTATCCACGTTTAAGTCTCTGAGGGAGGTATTCCTGGCCTCCCCTTTCCACCATGACATTAATGAAAATCAAACTAACTCAACATTATAATCAATAATACATTTGTAATCTTGTGCTAAAACTGATATGAGCAACTAAAACTAACCTAACCTTTACTTTTTCTCCAGAACCATATGTACCTCTGAGGGCATGTCTTCAAAATGTTTTTTTAAATTTACTAAAAGAAATTCATCCTAGTTCATAGCAACTATATCTTCCAAGATCCTAATTATGATAATATAATATTCATCTCACTAAGACCTATAGAATTGTACCATGATCCAAATCTACAACAGAAACATACTTGTGGTAGATTATAGATAGAAAAATATACCACAGACTAGTTGCTTTTCCCCTGCAGATAATCTTACAAACAGTTCCCAACTTTTTTTTTTCTTTATTGATTAAGGTATGACATATGTGTCCTTATCCCCACATTGCCCCACCCCCACTCATGCTCCCCCACCCCTGCTCATGCCTTCACCCCCCCTAGTGTCTATGTTCATTGGTTAGGCTTATATGCATGCATACAAGTCCTTTGGTTGATCTCTCTCCCTCCCCCCTCACCCTCTCCTGCCTTCCTTCTGAGGTTTGACAGTCCAATTCCCAACTTTTAAGAAAAAAAAACAAGAACACGTAGCACTTATTTGGTCAGAAGTGTCTCTGTGAACTTACCTTTTAACTAGCCATAACTTTATTTTTTTAAAATTAAATCTTTATTGTTCAGATTATTACATTTGTTCCTCTTTTTTCCCCCATAACTCCCCTCCTCCCAGTTCCCACCCCACCCTCCACCCTCACTCCCCACCCACTGTCCTCATCCATAGGTGCACGATTTTTGTCCAGTCTCTTCCCCATCCCCCACACCTCTTTCCCCCCCAAGAATAGTCAGTCCATTCCCTTTCTATGTCCCTGATTCTATTATAATCACCAGTTCATTCTGTTCATCAGATTATTTATTCACTTGATTCTTAGATTCACTTATTGATAGATGCGTATTTGTTGTTCATAATTTGTATCTTTACCTTTTTCTTCTTCTTCCTCTTCTTAAAGGATACCTTTCAGCATTTCATATAATACTGGTTTGGTGGTGATGAACTCCTTTAGCTTTTCCTTATCTGTGGAGCTCTTTATCTGACCTTCAATTCTGAATGATAGCTTTGCTGGATAAAGTAATCTTGGTTGTAGGTTCTTGGTATTCATCACTTTGAATATTTCTTGCCACTCCCTTCTGGCCTGCAAAGTTTCTGTTGAGAAATCAGCTGACAGTCGTATGAGTATTCCCTTGTAGGTAACTGAGTTTCTTTCTCTTGCTGCTTTTAAGATTCTCTCTTTGTCTTTTGCTCTTGGCATTTTAATTATGATGTGTCTTGGTGTGGTCCTCTTTGGATTCCTTTTGTTTGGGGTTCTCTGCGCTTCCTGGACTTGTAAGTCTATTTCTTTCACCAGGTGGGGGAAGTTTTCTGTCATTATTTCTTCAAATAGGTTTTTAATATCTTGCTCTCTCTCATCTTCTGGCACCCCTATAATTCGGATGTTGATACGCTTGAAGTTGTCCCAGAGGCTCCTTACACTATCTTCGTATTTTTGGATTCTTTTTTCATTTTGCTTTTCTGGTTGGGTGTTTTTTGCTTCTTCACATTTCAAATCTTTAACTTGATTCTTGCACTCCTCTGGTCTGCTGTTGGGAGTCTGTATAATATTCTTTATTTCAGTCAGTGTATGCTTAATTTCTAGTTGGTTCTTTATCACAACATCGAGGGTCTCATTAGATTTCTTGAGGATCTCACTATATTTATCACCAGTCTCACCAGTCTTTTCTAGGCCTTACTAAATTTATCAGCGGTCTCACCAGTCTTTTCGAGGGCCTTACTAAATTTATCGGCGGCTTCTAGAAAGTTCTTGAGAGACCTTAAAAGTGTGGTTTTGAGCTCTATATCCAGCATTTTGCCTTCCTCCATTTCTGTCCTGTTTCTTTGTCTCTGCATTTTTTATGCTTTCTTGGTGCACCCCCTAGTGGTCTTTGTGCGCCGTCTTGTTGTAGTTAAGCCTTGATTGTTGTAGGTAACACTGGGGGGGGGGGGATTTGACCTCCAGGCCAACTGGCTGTGAGAATCAGCTGTGTCTGCAGTGGGAGAACTTCTGTCCTCTAGGGAGGTACTAATCTAGCCTTTGCCTGAGGCTAACCAGCAAATGCCTCTGTGCAGGGCTTGGGCAGGGTAGGTCCCAGGGGATCAACAGGGAGGGCTGAGCGAGCAGTTATGGCTGCTCTCAGTCCCGTCCCCAGAGGCTCTGCCTCTCAGTGTCCCAGCAACCACTGCAAACCTCAGAGAGAAAGCTGCCCTCGAGTTCCAACCAATGCCAGACAGTCTCGCTTCTCCCATTTGAGTCTGGGCCCCCAGAGACTCACCCAGAACTGGAGCTCAGAGCCTGAGACTCCCTCCCGATTGAAAACAACAACCACGCCCTCAACTGCCAGCCCGCTCCACACGCACCTCCGCACCTTAGTATTTTACTTCCTTACTGTGCCTCCTCTGAGTCTCGGTATGCTTTTCTCTTTCCTTCTAGTTGTGGAATTTCCCCTCAGCCAGCTTTCCTGTGGTTCTGGGTGATATCCGTTCCGTCTTTTAATTGTATTTTTGAAGTGGTTGTGCGAGGCAGCATTCTCAGGTGTTTACCTATGCCGCCATCTTGGTTTCTCTAGCCATAACTTTAAATAAGAAAGTCCAGTTTTGTAAGTCTCAAAATTATATATTTCAGGAAAAATTTCAAAGGATAAATTATATCTAAAAAATAATGGTGTTATACTAAAATACATTATTTTATATGAAATTTTCCCAAGATACAACATAAAACAAAACTGATATATGATAAACACTTGCATTTCTTATGCCAAAGAATAATACCCCAGAGGTTAAAGCTAAAAGTTGTAGTTTGGGTTTCTTTAAAAAATCAAGATATGATCTCAAAATAGTGACATAAATAATAAACTAGGTCAGATGCCATATTTTAAAAACTTTTTAGTAGATTTCCACTTTACATCTTTTCCCAACAGTTTTGTTTTGCATTTTAGACTATTTATTTTGAGTGAAGGATTCTTACCCAAAAATCAGGACCTGATTTAACTGAAAAATAAACATAGAAGAGAAATTAGCAAATACACACATAAGAAGATAAGTAGTACTTTTATTGTGAAGAGATTATTATGATTGTATATCTGGTTTGTGAACATTAGCAAATAGAAGTGTTCACTGAGAGGATTCTTCTCCAGAACTGCACCTATTGATTAAGAGACGTCTTTGGACTTTTATTTGGAAAGTCCTGTGAAAATCAAAATTGTGGAGATAAATTTTATTTTTATTTTTTGTGTCCTACATGCTTCCCCCAAAAAGGATTTGAGGAAATTTAACAATGGTAAGTGACATATGCAACACAATAATTATGTATAATTTTGGGGCATTATCTCTAATTTTTATGTCTCAAAAAAATCTGAAGCAAATAAAAAACATTGTTAACATTAATTCTGAATAGTGGGCACCCACCTCTTTGTTATATTACCTTCCATGCTTCCTGTGAGTCTGAAATTTTTCAGAATAACATAACCAATAAATTTTTCAGAACAGAATAACCAACAGTCTATTAATGTGTAGAAATAATGTAAGAAGCAACTCTGTAAAGACAACATAAGTGTATAGATTTTGCTATGGTGAGGAAATTGAGAGAACGTTTCATGCAATGGAAGCACCTAAGTTGTGTTTCAGGAGAGACCTCATGACAATTTTGGTGACATTCCCTAGTCAGCGATCCCTGGACAGTGCAGTGCCCAGAGATTTGTACATCTGCCCAGGACAATGTGTACTGCAATTGATTAAAGGCACTTCCTGTTGCTCTTCCAGAGAGGGCAGCCAAATGACAAATCCAGAACAAAAACTATCACCCATTCCTGGCTCACTGAATATTTTTCATAGGTACCCTGGGTTCATTTATTTGCTTATTGATGTTATTAGTTGGATCAAACATAGTTTTTTAGATTACCTTTGTTATTATAAGTACAACTCGGGGAGGAAAGAAGAAACATGTGATCTCCAGCCCATTTACTTTTGAGGCTGTTTCCTGACACCAGCTGGTGTTTTCTGAAGGCTAACAAATGGACAATGTTATCACCGCTCATTTAACAGATGATCTGCTGTTGATTTTTGGGATTGCATATTCTGAGTTAACATCCAAACAGCCACACAGAAATGACAACTTCTTAACAAAGAGGCTGAGAGGTTTCAGGAACCCACAGTTCATATCTCTTTCCTGGTGGGTTGCCTCCAGATGGCCCGCCTGCTCATTACATAGGAACGCAACTCTTTCAAACGAATAAACACTCCTTTCTAATGCAGGGCTGCTGGCAGAAGACCTGACAGTATCCTCGGGTTTCTTGAACCATACCACAGGAGATAAGGCAGGGAATTCTGTTCCCAAGAATCATCACAAATTTATAAATATTGCATGTCAGTAAATGCTACATGAAGATAGGATTTCTATTTGCTCAGATTGGTGACTGCTATTTGCACAGGAGGCTTTCTGAAATAAAGAAAGAGAACTTACTCCTTAAGCAGAGGGCACAATAACATTCTCAATCCTTTTCCTGCATCTCATCATGCAAAATTTTCTAGAACACAGCCTTCCCGATTAGCATATCACTTCTCGTGAGCAGGTATTTGGTCCTTATTTCTCACAGGGCCTGGCACCTGGCTGGTCCCTGTTGAGAATAGTACAAACAGCAGGTGATCACAGGGATCACGCATTACATTATCTAGCATGATTAAGGAAACAAATTTTTAAAAAGGAATTAAAAATGCTACAATTCTAATCATTCTCAATCAAGAAAACCATCGTTTCACAGGTAAAGAAACCCTAAGTACAGTGATTGTGATTTTAGCAAAAGGTCATTTCACACTAAAGTCTCTAATGATAAATAGCTCACGAACCCATTAATCTTTGAAGAACAATCTTTTATATTGAAGAAGGACCATGATAATGTTGATGTGTAGACATACACACACATACAAAACAGCAAATGTACTTTTATTTACAACCTTAAAGCTTCTAACTTGAGGGTTTCACTTTTTACCCGAGTTTCTGCTAAGCAGCTGGATGGCTTTGGGTATGTAAATTTGGGCACAAGCTCAGTGGCAGAGCTGATTAGTTCTATGCAATAGTAGAAAGAGGAATTTGAGATCCGCAGGTCAGTACACAGCAGAGATACATTTGGAAAGAGAAGAGCCAGAAACACTGGGCGTTCTACACACAAGAAAGATCAGAGAGAAACCCAGGAAGTGGAGCCGAGGACCAGGAAAAGGCTTTAGGAAACAGCGTCTAATTAGTGTGTAAGCTGTTTGCTATGAGATTTATGACAAAAAATGCCTCCCCCACCTCCCAAGGGAAATCTTCAGTTGACATTGCTCCTCAAGGCTTTTCTGTATGTGAATTCTACTTAAAGGTCTAAGCCAGCGGTTCTCAACCTTCTGGCCCTTTAAATACAGTTCCTCATGTTGTGACCCAACCATAAAATTATTTTCGTTGCTACTTCATAACTGTACTGTTGCTACTGTTATGAATCATCATGTAAATATCTGATATGCAGGATGGTCTTAGGCAACCCCTGTGAAAGGGTCGTTCGACCGCCAAAGGGGTTGTGACCCACAGGTTCAGAACCGCTGGGCTTTTTTTTTTTTTTTTTTGGTTTAAAAGAGAGAGAGGACATACAGACAATGGAGACAGACAATGATGGTTGTTGACACTCTGGTAGCCCCTCTTGGGTTACTCTTGAGTATCTCAAGTCTATTCTGCTTCTTCCCCAGGCTTCCTCATGTTATTAAATGCTGCCACATCCACTAAGCAGCTCAACCCAGGTATCTGCTTTAATTTCTCACTCTCTGAATCCATCAACAAATTCTCCCAAATCTACCCCCACAAACATTCCCCAAATCCATCCACTCTGCCACCCTTGTCCACCACCACCCCTTCAGGAACTAGTGTAATAGCCTCCTAACTGATCCCCTTACTCTTACTTTTATCAACCACACCCACCATGCATGGCTCATGGTCTCTTCCTCACAGAGCATCTATAGTGAACCTTAAGACACAAAATCAGATCATGTCCCTCCTATGGTTAAAACTCTCCAATATCTGCCCATCCTACTGAGAGCACAACCCTCCTGCCCCATGGCCCACAGAGTGTTCTGTGAGCTGCCCCTCAGGCCACATCTTACCCCTCCCTCCCGCTACCAGCTCAGCAGCATTGCATGACTTCTGTTTCTCAAACACCGTTGCCACCAGATCATTCTCTTAGGCTGGTGTGTTCTTCCTCCAGATCCTTGCGTGGCTGGGTTCTTTTCCTTAGTAGAGCTCAGCTCATATGTCACTTCCTCAAAAAATGGTTCCCCATCTAATGCAACCGTCCTTCCACTAGACACTCTCCATCATATGACCCTGCTCTATTATCTTCGTAGCACGTATCTCTATTGGAACATTCTTTTTACCTTCATTTTCTGCCTCTCCTCATCAGAATGCATGCTTCACAAAGGCAGGAACTGTATTGTCACTAACAAATCCCAGGACAATGCCTGGCACGTAGGACAGCCTGGGTTTGAATTGCAGCACAGCCAGTAAGTGGCTGTGCAAACTTAGGTTACTCACTTAATCTCTCTGTTTCCACATCTGTAAAATGAGATGATGACAAATGGCTTTTACCTCATATGGTTTTTGTGTGAATTAAATGAGTTAGCATTTTAAATGCTCAGAAAAATCCCTGGCACATAATAAACACCATATGGACTAGCTATTATTCACTTACTTTGATCTGCCCTTCATTTCTTAGGCAGAAAAAAAATTCTGTATCCTCAGACATTTTAATTCATTAACAGCCAGCAACCTACACCCAGTGATTTGTGTACTTTCCACTCCTCTTTAAAGCAACCTAGAAAAGGAGTCAGCAAGGGGTCCTGGATGCTCCCACTGTGTAGCTGGGAAAATATCCCAAGATCATATGACCGGAGTCATGTGAGGTCAGAGACCTTACAAAGAGTTCGACAGTCTTAGGAGTGTGAGAGCAGGTCCTCGGCATCCTTCCCTTGTAAGCCCTCAGAAAGTAGGGAGTGCATGACTTCTGCAGGTGTAACAATCAGTTCTTTTCAAATATCCTCTACACTTACCACTTACAGATCCGTCCCCACCAACAAGTCAGCTTTATATTGGTAGGGTTGCCAGATAAAATACAGAACACCAATTATGTTGGATTTCAGATAAACAACAATTTTTATCTGAAATCAGATTTAACTGAGAGACATATTTTTATTTACTACAGTCTACAAACACTGACAGGTGGCTTTGCAGCAGACAGATCTGGGGCTAAATCTGAATTCTTGGTTGTACTATGGAAGCAACTTTGAGCAAGTTACTTAACTCCCACTGAACTTCAATGTCCTCATTTATGAACAAACCTGCTTCACAGAGTGTTTATGAGGTTCTAATGAGGTAGGCTCTGGGAGGGTACTTTGCATAATGCCAGAGGGCTGATTAAATAAAGATCTGCAAAAATCCATTCATCTTCCTTCTGTTCCCTTCTGATGCGTCAGGTCTGATCTCTAGCTGAGATGCTGAAAGCCAGTTTTTGGTTTTTTTTTCTAGGATAATTAGAATCATTCTTGAAGGCAATCGAATTAAGGAAATAAAATTATGTTTAAACAGCACATTCTCCTGTATCAATGACCTATTGCCACAACAATGCTCTGTAGCAAACAACCATGAAACCTCCGTGGCATTCAACAGGGGAACATCTATTCTTGCTCATGAGTCTAGGGCAGTGATGGCGAACCTATGACACGCGTGTGAGAGGCGACACGCGAACTCATTTTTTTGGTTGATTTTTCTTTGTTAAATGGCATTTAAATATATAAAATAAATATCAAAAATATAAATCTTTGTTTTACTATGGTTGCAAATATCAAAAAATTTCTATATGTGACACAGCACCAGAGTTAAGTTAGGGTTTTTCAAAATGCTGACACGCCGAGCTCAAAAGGTGCTCCATCACTGCTCTAGGGGTGGGCTCAGCAGTTGTAATGGTCTGAGCTGGGCTGGTGGGACTCACTTATACGTCTGTGGTCAGCTCTCAGGTCTCTCAGGTCGGCTGGGAACAGGCTGGTCTAGGATGGCCTCAGCTGGGAGGACTCGATTCTGTGCTACATGGTCTCTCATCCTCCAGTAGGTGGCCCTCACCTGCTCTGAAGACAAGGACGAAGTTTCAAGAGAAGAAGCAGGAATATGTAAGTGCTTTTACAAGACCATTTGCGTCAAGTTTGTTATTGTCTCATTGTCCAAAACAAGGCAGGCAGCCAAGGTCAGGTCAGGTTAGAAGGGCACTCCCAAAGGTATAAATATATAGAGGCATGAAACAATGGGCTCACTAGTGTGATCAATCTACAATACCCCTGATACATGAGATTTGTAGAAGAAATATTCAAACTTAGGAAGTCAATAAATAAAAGCATGAACACTGTAGTAGACACTGATGAAGGTCTACCCTGCCCCTCAGCTCTGGGAGCGACCCAGCCCCTCACAGAGGTGGCTTCCGGCAGCTTTACTTACGCTGTGTGACCCTACTCCCTGGTTTTGGCTGGCCAGCCACAGGGGGAGCCCCTGACCCAAGCTGACCTGGTCATATTCTATTTCTGGAATTTAGAAATGGAACCAAGAGAGCCAAGTTAGAATCTGTTTGTGACAGGATCTACAACTTGTAACCTTGGGCATTCTGGGGAGACTGTGTTTTGCCACATGAACCGAGGAGAAGAAAAAAAGAAAAAAGCCAGTCTCTCAGCCATTAGAGACAGACAAATGAATAAAATGCAGTATTCATTTCCTATTAATGCCGTAATAAATTACCACAAACTTAGTGACTTAAACAAGCAAATGTATTATTTTACAATTCTGGAGGTCAAAAGTCTAAAATGGGTTGGCAGGTCTGGGTTCCTTCTGGAAGCTCTAGAGCAGCGGTTCTCAACCTGTGGGTCACGACCCCTTTGGCGGTTGAACGACCCTTTCACAGGGGTCGCCTAAGACCATCCTGCATATCAGATATTTACATTACGATTCATAACAGTAGCAACATTGCAGTTATGAAGTAGCAACGAAAATAATTTTATGGTTGGGTCACAACATGAGGAACTGTATTTAAAGGGCCAGAAGGTTGAGAACCACTGGCTAGAGGATGGAACAGGCAAGGAAACAGAATTGCCTCTAGAGCAGTGCTTCTCAACCTTCTGGCCCTTTAAATACAGTTCCTCATGTTGCGACCCAACCATAAAATTATTTTCGTTGCTACTTCATAATTATAATGTTGCTACTGTTATGAATCGTAATGTAAATATCTGATATGCAGGATGGTCTTAGGTGACCCCTGTGAAAGGGTCGTTCGACCGCCAAAGGGGTCGCGACCCACAGGTTGAGAACCTCTGCTAGACTCAGCTGCTTGCTTTCCTTGGCTTGTGGTTGCATTACTACAACCTCTTTCATTGTCACATATCCTTCTCTGATTCTGACCCTCCTGCCTCCTTATTATAGGGACACTTATGATTACACTGGCCCACCTGGATAATCCAAGACAATCTCCCATCTCAAGATCTTCATCATATTCTCACAATTTTTTTTGCCTTGTAACATAGAATTTCCACAGGTTCCGGGATTAGGACATTTTGGGGAACCTTTACTCTGCCTGCCACAAATGCTCCAGGAGGAACAGAAATGGAAGGTAAAGAAAATATCCCAACAGCCTTCTGCTTCAGACTAGACAAGACATTTCTGCATGGCTGCCCTTGAATGCCCTGACACACTCTCATGTCCTTATAATAAGTGTTTTGTGTGTAGCTGCCTGGAGTGCTCTGTTGAGAAGAATTCTGAAGGCTTATTGAAATGCATGATCAATTAACAATAGATACCAACCAAACTGGAGGGTTATATACAATGTGTCACAAATTCATCATCTTTGCTCTAGATTAGAAATTGTAGAATTGTCATGGCTGAGTATAAAGAATAATTTTTTCCTTATCAAAATGGTAAACTATGAAAATGTAAATCCTTATTAATAGTAGAAGAACTTGAATTAAAAGATATCCTTTAGGCCCTGGTCAGTGTTGCTCTGTGGTTGGAGCATCATCTTGTGCACCAAAGGAGTGAAGGTTCGATTCCTAGACAGGACACGTGTATGGGAAGCAACCAATTAGTTTCTCTCTCACATCAATGTTTCTCACTCTCTCTCTCTCTTTCTCTCTCTCTTTATCCCCGTCTCTCTCATTATTCCCCTTTCTCTAAAAATCAATAAAAAACATATCCTCAGGTGAGGATTTTCTTTTAAAGATATCCCTTAGGAGACTACCTATAACAGGTAACTTGGGAACAGGGGGTAGGCTGCATATTATCATGTACCAAATACCTAGCACTTAGAACAGCAGTTCTCAACCTGTGGATTGTGACCCCTTTGGGGGTCGAATGACCCTTTCACAGAAGTCGCCTAAGACCATTGGAAAACACATATATAATTACATATTGTTTACAGTAGCAAAATTACAGTTATGAAGTAGCAACGAAAATAATTTTATGGTTGGGGGTCACCACAACATGAGGAACTGTATTAAAGGGTCGCGGCATTAGGAAGGTTGAGAACCACTGACTTAGAAGAAGAAAAAGAAAGAAAAAAACAAACCAACTTGGTGATGTCGCACCCAATACCTTTCCCTTTGAACAAAGTTTCCAGGGCCTGATCACAAACCCGCATCAAATGGCCATCATATTCTATTGCCTCCTCCAAGTTAGCAAGTTAGCATGGCTGCAGTCAGGAGGCAATCCGCATCACTAAGCAAAACATTTTTCCTTGTCAGAGCAACCAGTTTCTCTCTCACAGGAGGAGGTCATTGGTTTCAGGAGCTCCAAGTTTTATTTCTGTCAGTTTTGTTTAGTACCGTGAGCCAAACGCTCACTTATGCCTAGATCCTTGGCCTGGCTTTTATAGGGAATTCTGCACTCAAGCGACACTTAATAACCTCTTTAGTCGCTCACTCCAGTGTTCTTGGTGACCTCAGAGTGCTGAAATTACAGTCACACTCACATAAGACAGGAAGAAAGATAAGAAGAGCCCCTCCATCATGTCCCAGAATTTATGAGGAACCAAAGGGTAGTCTGGAGGGTGTTGCTCAATGTTTTAAGTGGCGTCAAGAATTCAGACTGTCACCCGAGCCAGTTGGGGTCAGTGGATAGAGCGTCGGTCTGTGGACTTAAGGGTCCCAGGTTTGATTCCAGCCAGGGGCACCTGCCCGGGTTGCAGACTGGATCCCCTCTCCCCCAGTGGGGGACGTACAGGAGGCAGCCAATCAATGATTCTCTCTCCTCATTGATGTGTCTATCTCTCTAACTCTCTCCCTTCCTCTCTGAAATCAATAAAAATACAGTGTATATTTAAAAAAAAAAAAAAGAATTCAGACTGCCTCTCAATCTGAGAACACTTGGAAAGAGAGGAGCTGGACCAAGCGCCTTTACAAAGAGCCTCCTTCCTGTTAACTGCCCTGAAATTCTCTTTTCATGAAGAATTCTCCTTCAGAAGACTTAAGGAGGCATATGTGATTTAATCCCCCACTGTAGCTTTTAAACCCTGTGGAATGAGCGTTTACAAAGTAGGATCCTTTGCCGTGTGTAAAAGAGATGTCTGTGCGTATGTTTTGCCAAGAAATTAACATCCAGTCTTTGCCAACGAGCATAAATATACTTGGCAGAATCCAGAGCCCCAGTAGCAAAGATAAAAGTAGTTGTTCTACTCAGCCAATTGCTCACACTTATTACAAAACACTTGTCTTCCCTCGGGGAGAATGTTCTCCCCTTGCGCTGTCTGGCTCTGGGAGACATCATCCTCCAGCCCTGCCAGGCCTGCGAGAGAGACTCAGAGCGAGATGCTCGGAGTCACGTAACTCCTTTCTGCGCAGCTGCAGACCCAGGGGCTCAGCTTTTGCCAGGCATTCCACCTCTCGGCTCTTGATGCTTTCCCCTCTAGGAATAACCCATTTTTTAAGAAAGACATTTATATTTTAACCCTGCCATTCTTTTTACTGCTTTAAAATCTGATTCCATTTTCTTCAGCTGTCTGGGCTTTATACAAATGTCAGTAGGCTGAACGGGTTGCCAGCGCTTGGACCGATGATCAGTGAACTGATGATGTCTTAGTTTCGCATTGAATAAGGCAACGACCGCTTATGTGAACATCCTGGTAAAGATCTTTCCGTTCACCTTTCTCTATGTCCCCAAAGGGTTTCACCCTGGGAGCAAAACAACCACAATGGTCTGATTCTGAGCAAAACCTCTTTGTTCTTCCTTTTCCTGTGACATGTATCCCAGACCAACCAATTATGAGAAAACTGAAAATTTTCATACACCCCAATTTAAAATTGATTCTTTTGAAACTAGTTCAAACATGTTAACATGCTTTAAAGGTTAAAAAAAAAAAAGTCTGACATTTCAGCAAAAACTTGAATTATCATCAATAACTAAAATTTGATAATACCTCTTGGCCTTTAATCTATGTAGTTGAAAATACAACCGCTGCATTTCTTTTAAAAATAGCCCATAAAACTTCTTAAATTACTCAACTGCTCATTTGTTTAGAACTAGAGTTGTTTGTGTACTCACCTCACTTTCCTTCTGAACTGTGGGTTTCAGGGAGGGAGGCACCTCAAAGCACTGCCCCAGGAAAACAAACACAATCCCTGCCCGTGGGAGCTCAGGCGAATGCAGGGGGTGGGTCCTGTGCACCTTCTAATGGCCTCTTCTCTTTCTGTTATCCTTGAATAAAGAAAAAAGAAACAACAATTGTCCAAACGGTGTGGCTCCACTGTTTGGCTGAGTGTCGACCTATGAACCAGGAGGTCACGGTTTGATTCCTGGTCAGGGTCAGAGCTCAGTCCCCAGTGGGGTTCATGCAGGAGGCAGCCAATCAATGATTCTCTCATCATTGATGTTTCTATCTCTCTCTCTCCCTCTCCCTTCATCTCTGAAATTAAAAAACAAACAAACCATAAACATTTCTTATTATTTAGCTTTTGTCAAAAGCTTTTACCAAAAAAGCAGTTACCTCAGATCCTTTTTGAAAAAGAGTAATGTACATTATAAGTATAAAGTGTCCCAAAATTCACACAAGATTTGAATTTTGTGTGAGCATTAACAACAACAATAACAACAAAAAATAAAAGCCTAATTTTACTTGGTTTATTGAATAAGATTCTAATATCTGTTGCCCTTTGATTTCAATCCCTTCAATTGGATAAGCATTACCAAGTACCAATTATGGCGCAGGAGCAGGGACAATGAAGACCATACAGCTTTGCGTATGTGCCAGCAAAGCTGTGGAGGCCATTTACCCGATGTGCTATTCCATACATAACCCTATACTGTATACTTTATGAATCAATAAAAAATTTACAATTTTTAATTATAAACCTGTGTTTTCTATCAAAATTACTTCTTGCGTGAATTTTGAGATACCCTATACATTCCTATAACTCATAATAATATACAGTAAGGCTATTGCTTGGAATTCTTGAGGTTGGGAGGTGGAGTAGAAGGAGGGAAGAGGAGATTTCTCTTCAGAGAATGACTAAAGGATGCCATTTGGCACTGCTGTGACATTGTAGTTCACACTTTAAATAAAAATGGCACATTTCAGATTTTTTATTATAACTTAGTTTGAAAAGTCAAACGTCCTGGGCAGACACTTTTAGTTTACTAATAATAAATATTATTGAGATCTTTTCCTGCAAAACTACAAATAAAATGGTATGAAATGTCATGGTTCTGCCCATTTCATTGTCTCACAAGTAGTTATACAAACCAGAATTTTAAAAAAATAAACCAAGCAAGTCAAGTTTATTTCAGGAAAAATAAAAAGTGAATTAGAAATAAGCTGAAATCTACCATTAAGATTTTCAGGTGATAAACCACTTCAGAGTAACTACCTCCCACCTTTCTTTGGCAAACTTAGTACACTGAAAGTTGTATTTTTACAAACAATAATCTAGAAAATACTTCTTTGATAATATGAAGTAAATTTTCTTTAGGTATCTAATTTTTCTACCACAATTCAGCAGTTTATAAACATAGTTTAGTTCAATGTGTGTTAAGCAAAACAGAGTATACCCTAATGGGGAAAAGCCTCCCTTGAGTAAAACACAAATTTTTCCAAGATTTTAGCAGAAAACAAAAGTCCCAAGAAAGTCACTCCAGATGGTATTTCATGGGTTTTAGCATGTTAATGACCACTGAAGCTCTGACTCCAGAATAGACACACCCTCCCCAATACCCTTGACCCAACTGAAACTGATTTAACATCTTTTTTATACTTGTAAATGCATATACTCATGTGCTTTTTTATTTTGTTATTGTGGTTTATTGTTGAACTTTTAAAAAAGTGACTAAGTAAGGAAGAACATAAAAAATAATTATGAAAAATCCAAATTCAAAAAATAGGCACATTTCCAAAGAACATATTTCTGATCCTAAAATAACCTCCCTCTAGGCCTAAAGGACCAGCAGAATTTTGCAGACATCTTGCCCAGCTTCGATTTCCTCTGGTTTTCTGCATTTCTCAAGGTCACCAAAAAGTCTTAGAATCTATACCCAAGAGAACTAATCTAAAATGACTTCTCTTACACACCAAATTTTACCTTTTCCTTTTATCTCCTTTAAATTTCCTCCCCCTCAGACTCTCCACTTAAGCCTGATTTCCCATCTGAGGGACACAAATGATTTGCAGGAATATAATGATTAAAATAATGAATTGTCCCACCCCTTTCTAGCCCAGGTTACTAGCTAGTTCTGTCCACTTTTGGAGGAGTCTGTGATTCAATGACAGTTCACCAAGTAGAGAGAGACCCAGCTGTGTATTATCCCTGAACTGGACAAGAGCCATTGCATACACATAATGTTATGGCACGGAAGGCATAAAATTCAGGGGAACTCAGGTTGTCCAGGTCTTATCCATAAAACCATTCATATCAGCTGAGTGTAGAGAGAGCAAAGCCCTCCAAGACTGTAGGAACAAATGGCATGAAAGCTTTAAAAAGAAAGGACCTAGCCTAGCTGGTGTGGCTCAGTGGTTGAGTGTCAATCTAGGAACCAGGAAGTCATGGTTCGATTCCTGGTCAGAGCATATGCCCAGGTTATGGGCTCAATCCCCAGTGTGGGGCATGCAGGAGACAGCCGATCAATAAGTCCTTTTCATCACTGATGTTTCTAATCTCTCTCCTCTCCTTTCCTCTCTGAAAGCAATAAAAGTATTTTTTAAAAAGAAAGGCGCTATAAGTACTGACCATTTGAGCAGCAAAGGCAGGGGGTCATTTGAAAGTGAAACTTCTGATTAACAGCCCAGGAAAGCTGAAGTTTGGCTACATGTTGTTTATGACTCAATGTGGAATGTTACCAGATTCCGTGCATGGGCTTTTATTCATATCGGAAACATAAACGAGGGAAAGGAATCCAAGAAAACAACAACAAAAAAATAGCAACAAACTCTCACTAATAGCAAGAGGTTCTATATTTCCACTGGTTGTAGAAAAACTGCAGTTCAAGAGTGATAGCTTCTTAGAAACTAATTTACTCTAAATATCCCAGAGAATATAGCAGAAACCAAAGATCAGTGTTTCCATTTTTTCAGATGGGTTCTTTACTCTCTTGTCTTCTCTTTGCTGCCATACTTACCCTCTTGCTAATGAGAGATGTGTTATTGAGAGCACAGGTGTCTTCATGAGGACGATCTTTTTACAAATGGGTGTCCTGATCTTCAGAGACCTGCGGCAAACACAATCCCTGCCACAGGAGTTAAGACCATCTCCCCCACTGCTGAACATCTCTCTCCGTAAACATCCCACCCACTGCCCTGCAATTCTAATGGGCAACTCCAAACCAGAGAGTCACATTTGCTGACCTTCAGAATTATTTACAATAAAGTACATATGGCTAAAAAGACCTACAGTGTTTATACATGGCATCTCTGAATGAATCGGGTGTTTTTCTTAAATGGCCTGTGACATTTAACATTGAAAACTATCTTCCATGTGATTCAAGTGTCTCTTGAATAGAGGAGTTGAATAGAAAAGAACCCAAAGTTAAGATTTTTATCTATTCAGTGATTTTTATCTATCCAATACATTTAACTAAATTATGATGCTTCATAATTTATCCTGCTTCCAAGAATCATTTTACTCGGTGATGAAATGAGAGAGAGAGAGAGAGAGAGAGAGAGAGAGAGAGAGAGAGAGAGAGAGAGAGAGGCACGCTCTGAACAAAAGCTGGCACAAGAGAATTTGGATTCAAGTGCTGAAGCTTTAATCAAAGTTATTCATCATGAAAGGACAGACATGAAATCCTTGGGCTCTACACTGCCTTTTACTTCCAAGACGCCCACATTCTTGTGTGGCCTGGCCTGTTTCTTAGATTGCATGATGTGTTAAAGAAAACAGGCCTCATTTCTTCTGATCACTATAACAAGCCAGACTCTAATTAATGTCAAGAACTTTCTGGCAAAGAATTATAATGGCAAAGAATTCTGTTCTTGCCATAATCATTAAGGGAATTCTTTGGGTTTGCTTATTTTTTATTTTTTTATTTTCTTTTCTTTCTGAAAGGTGCTAAATATGCCAGGAAGTACTGTGCTTTGATGCTTGTGGCACAGTCCTTTTATTTTTATCAAGGGCATTTTTTGCATGCACAGAGCAAATTCCCTCACCGGTGTCAAAGTGGCCCTGGATGTTTACTGTGGGAGCCAAGGAACCCTTCAGCCAGTTTTCACAACGTGTGCTGCTCCTGGGCCCCTTTGGGTGACCTTTTCTCAGGACAAGTCTCTATTCTTTAAGGACTCACAGCCCTGGAGTCTTTTCCCCAAAAACGCATGACTTTGAGTGTACCCACAGGCCTAAGCAGAACAACGTGAAATACTGACACCCTGACCCAGTGGTCAGTACCTCCCTTCAGTGTGGGCACGCTCAGACAGAAATAAGGCTTGATGAAGCACACTTCTGAGGGGAGAGTTGTTATTTGGAACACAGAACCTTGACTTCTGTAATTAAGGCTTCCCAGAACTGTTATTCTAACAAAAATACCTAATGTTTATGGAGTACGCATAATATGCGAGGCATTTCCATAGACTTAGTTCATTTAATCTTCACCACATTCCCACGGGGTAGGTTCCTATTCTAACAGATGAGAAAACAGGAGCTCAGAGAAGTTCAGAGAGTTGCTCCCAGCCAGATAGCTAGCAATCAGTAGAGGGGCTCAGATGCAAGCAGTTTGACTCCAGAGCCCTTAGTCCCCTTTTGGACAGTAACTTACTTTTGGAATGAAAGAAGATAGATAGATAGATAGATAGATAGATAGATAGATAGATAGATAGATAGATAGATAGATAGACAGATAGATGATAGAATAACATGGTTAGAATAATAGATAGAAGATAGATAGATAGATAGATAGATAGATAGATAGATAGATAGATAGATAGATAGATAGATAGATGATAGAATAACATTGCTAGAATAACAATAATAATGCCTACAAAAGTTCTTTAACTCAGGACCTTATATGAAAATCTTAGAAGTAGTAGTTGAGAATGACTGGGGCTAATTTAAAATATATCATAAGCTATAAAAAAATGTACAGTGAGGTTTTTCTGATTTCTCTCTGTAGGGAGTTGATGAAAACCTTTCACCAGGTGGAGTTTGACCATATATCCTTAGTGGGATATAGTTAGTAACTGCAAATAAACTTCAGCATCATTCTGTAGTTTTGTTAGTAATGGTAAAACTCATGCTGTTATTATGGTTATTTTAAAACTATTTTATATATTTCAGGATAAAATAAGTAAGCAATTATGTTACTATTATAGAAAACCAATACTTTTAGAATAAAAATAGATATGGGAATAAAATTAAACAAATTAAGTAAAAGTTCTCTAATCATATTTTAATTGGAAATATTAGTATAAACTCATCATCTTTAAAATATATTTTTCTGCCTCTGCTCACTGAGGAGTCCAATAACAATGAGCATCTCAACACCAAGAGTTAGTTTTCTAAATACCATCCCCACCCCTTGGGACAAAAACCAAAAGCACTAACAAAAATTCTTGGAGAAATGACTAATTCCAGTTTTGCAGAGAGAACAACTTTTAAAAAGAAAGAGCATGCACAATATGACCCTGAGACATTTTGTTGTGCCAGAAAGTAACGAAATGTTTTAAAGATGAATGGAGTCACATATAATGGACAGGGGAGCCAGCTTGGCAGGGATCGCAATTTAAGAATAAAAAAAGAGCCCTAATCGGTTTGGCTCAGTGGGTAGAGTGTTGGCCTGCAGACTGAAAGGTCCCAGGTTTGATTCTGGTCAGGGGCATGTACCTTGGTTGCGGGCACATCCCCAGTACGAGGTGTGCAGGAGGCAGCTGATTGATGTTTCTCTCTCATCGATGTTTCTAACTCTTTATCCTCTCCCTTCCTCTCTGAAAAAAAAAAAAAGTCAATAAAATATATTTTTTAAAAAAGAATAAACATTTATTGAAATTACATGAAATATTAAAATATCCAGGAGTTTATGATGATACTCGTCATTATAAAAGAAGAGAAAGCAGTTAAAAATAATCTGCATCCATTGGAAATAGCTGTGCATAGACTCTCCATTTCTCTGATGGTCATTAAAGGGAAAGAAAGGCATTTTAGGGTGCTGTTCTTACACAAACGCTATTGAGAGCATCCAAGTAGCCCCAGCTGATGTCAAAAAGTGCTGCTTTATAGACCAGTTCCCTGATAAGTAATGTAGAAGAAAGGGCAGGATCCAAAAACATCTATTTTGCAATCCCTAATGAAATAATGGATCCCGGCCATGGTCATCAACTGATGCTAAAACCCTAGAAAAAAAAGGTGCATGAGAACTAGATATTTGCAGAGTGCCCAGAACTGATTACTTATTGGTTAAAAGGATAAAAGAAACACTTTCTATTGGAGCAACCAGGTTGTCACTTGGACCACACTGATACATCTTGTCGACACTAACAGCAGGACAACTAGCTATGGTGAACCTTAGGTGATGCAATCTGAAGGACATGGTTCCTCCTATGAAGTATTCTTGCCAAAAAGTTGACCCTGAATCTAATCAACTGTAGAAAGACTTTTCTTACAATTGTAAAAAGGCAATCAGGGAAACTGAAAATAGACTGAATATTAGATGGAAGGATTATTGTTAATTTTGTTAGGTGTAATTCGGTGCAATGGGCTTTTTTGTGTGGAACTGAAATACTTAGGGGTAAAATGTCATAACATCTAGGATTTGCTTTAAATACTTCAAAAAATAGATTTAAAAATATATATGGCACAATTTTAATCACTATTAACACTCAGAGGGCCCTAGCACAATGAGTTCATTGCAATCTATCTTCTGAATGTATGTTCAAAATTTTTCAAAAATGTAATAAGGTACAACTTGTAAAAACTAAAATTTTAGTGTATTCCATTTTTATTCTTTTTTAAAAAAATATATTTTATTGATTTTTTTACAGAGAGGAAGGGAGAGGAATAGAGAGTTAGAAACATCGATGAGAGAGAAACATCGATCAGCTTCCTCCTGCACACTCCCTACTGGAATATGCCCGCAACCAAGGTACATGCCCTTGACCGGAATCGAACCTGGGACCCTTCGGTCCGCAGGCTGACGCTCTATCCACTGAGCCAAACCGGTCAGGGCCATTTTTATTCTTAATATATATATACATACATATAGTTGTTTGTGTATGGATAAAATTTACTCACTCATTCATTAATCAGTATACATATTCTGACTGGTGCTGTTCGTCATGATGGGAACATAGTCCAAGTCCTCACGGAGCCTACATTACAGCAAAGGCAGCAAACATTAAACTAATTATGAAATTAATGACTTAACTGCAGCTGTGATGAGACTTCAAAGGGGAAGTCCAGGCTGTGAGGAGGGCATCCAAAACCAGGAGATCTGGCCTCATCTGGTGAGGGTCAAGCCAACTGCAAGACAAATATATTGTTTCCCAGAAGCAACAGAATGCCAGGAGCTCATGAAAAGAAGTGGCCCATGACTGGCAGCAAGAGAGGACATAAGGTTAGGGACCCAGGGTCAGTCAGGTGTGGGCAGTGTCCAAGGACACAGATTCTCTAGGGATCTTCACAGAGACCTAGTTGTGTGCTAATCTGGCAGGAAAACTGGCTCCTCACCAAGCCCGTCCAGACAGAGATGCAGAGGAGGGAGAGAATCTGGTCAGGGACTTCTGCTTGGAGATGGAGACAGTGGAAGGGCCAGCTAGGAAAAGCTGGGGAAGAGGAGAGCTAGGGAAGTTGGGCAGGCTCACCCCAGCACACATAAACTTGGACGAAAGGTCAGACCCGAGTTTATTTACAAACAAAGTACATTACTTGCATTCCCTAAAGTAATATTACTAGGGAAGCATTCACTATTAACCAGAAGTCCCTCAGGACTGTAAACTCCTCTCAGAGCAATGATAAAGTATCTGGACCCTTCCGTCCAAAAGAAGAGATTGGATTGTCCCTTAGCTTTGGCTCAGTAAATGTAGCCTCCTTGGAATAGCCAGGTGGAACATGCCTTTCTGTTTTCTTTAACATGGAACAAATGTGCTGAGTCTAAAAGAGACTATACCTATCAGTTAATCCTTTTTTAAAAACTATGAAACATTTTAAGTACATGAGAAGTACAGAGAACAATATACAATACCTACCACCCAGAATTTCAAAGGCTTAACATATGATTAATACATTTATTTCAGAATAAAACATTACACATACAGTTGAAGTCCCTTTATATCTTTCCCCAAATGTATTCCCCTTTCCTCCTGGAGGTAACTACTTTCCTGATTGACATGTAACCTTCATATAAATGGCACACATATGTGAAAGCTACATGTATATGAAAAGTATATATCCACAAATAATATAGAATGGTTTTGTGCATCTTAAAACAATTTTTACAATAAATTATCCAAGTCTTATTGTACTATCAATTATTAGTCTGCAATTTTTTTGTTACTTACTATTATTTTTTCAAGATTCATAAATATAGATCTAGTTTATTCAGTTTGCTATTGGTTGTATTCCATTATGAGGATACACTAATTTGTTCATCCATTTCACCTACTGGCAGGCATTTTAAAACTGTAAACATGCAAATATCACAGACCATGCTGCTGTAATGAATCTCTTTGAGTGTTACTTTAGGTATACATGTGCATGAGTTTCTCTAAGATTTATACCATGCAAGGGAATTTCTGTGTTTCTAGCTTTTAATCTAAATATGACTCTATCATCTTTAAGGGCAGAATTTATCTTCAAAAAGCTTTGATCTTGGGGTAACAGATTTAGTAGGACCAAGGATTGCTAATGGGTGATACCATCTTGTGAAATAATTAAGATACATTTACTTCTGGGACATTTAGACACTGGAATTTTTAAATCAGTTAATAACTATAACTCATCAGTTTGTGTATTAGAACTTACCTAGCATAAATAACTTTCATTACAAGCTTCTATTTTATCAGTATGTATTCCCTTCACCCTAGTGTTTTAGTAAAAAAAAAAATCTTAGTTCCTCTAGAGAAATCTCAGAATTATATCTCTTCCCATCTTTCATAACCCAAAGGCTATTTTTTCTATCATACTGCATATAAATTAATTATATTAATAATAACTGCTCAGTGCAAGCTTTAGATCTTTAGATAGTAACTATTGTTACCATTCTGTGTTTATCTAATTTCAGCCAAGAATCTTTATATTTTAGCTATACCATGATTTCTTCAAGGAAACCTGCTAAAATTATATCACTGGTCTAGAACCCAGCTGAGCTCACCTGTAAAACCTAAACTTTTGAATTAATAAACATTATTTTAGCTATTAGCATATTAAAACATTTCATTTCAACTATTTATATGTGTAAATCAGATGTTAACTAGAAAAGTGTGAGACAAAGGAATCAAATGTTAGGAGCAAAGTGAATCAATGACCAGTATAAATGATGTATTGTCATTGTCTTGTTTTCCATCCACAGAAGAAATAATGCGATGACTCGTTCATTCACATTTGCTTGAGAAAGATGTGAGAGCTGATATGTAGCTTTAGCCATATTTACTGAACTTATTTAATTCAATTAGTTTAAATAAATCAGGTTATCTCAACTTAGAACATAAGATGGTATTATCTGGGGGGAGGGGGGAGGAGATAAATTGCCAAACATAGCAGAAATAAAAAGTCTTTTTTCCATTCCTGACTTCGTAGATATCCTCTAAACTTTAGATGACCTGATATCATTCCAGAATGGGCCAGAAACCTTGGATTCTCCCTGACTCTGAGTTGTACTGCTGAAGCTGATCAAAAGGAAGCAACCCACAATTTGTATATCAGTACCAACAAGTACCCAGGTGTTCATATTTCAAGCTCACCAGATAAAAGCAAAAGTTTACTTTTGCTGAGAAGAAAGTGTACGTTTACAGGCACTCCTTAATGATGTTACTTATGGTGGCCAGTTTTGAAGGTCAAGATTACAGATGGGAGAAAATTTTGTTTTTAATTTGAACTTCAACTGAATCCACCAGTTGAGCGCTACTGACGTAGGCCAATGCTGAGGCCAAGGGCTTCCCTGTCCACCATCTCTCTATGGGGCAGTCTCAGAAATTAAGTCCAGATCCAATAATAGCTAATGGTTTTTAGCACTTAATGTGTGTCAGGCACTGTTTTATTCATTGTGTTAATTCATTGAATCCTCATAAACCATATGGGTCAAATGCTATTATCATACACATTTTACAGATGAGAAAACTGAGACATAGGTTAAGTACCTTATCTAAGTCACTTAGCCCCAGAGCTTGGGCTCTTGAGCACTAGACCACATGGCACATTTTACATGGCTCCAGTACGGCTACACATTGGTTGTGTCTTGAGCCCTCCATAACCTAGGAAACTGGATCTGTTCTGGAGCCATTCCAGGTTTGGGGACCCCACTGCCAGATCCAAAATCCAGAGGACAAGACAAAGGAAACCAGGAGTTGGATCTTCCATTCACTCTGAGGAGGACATCAAAAAGTCCTTGGAGATGCTTCAAATCAAAGCCAGTATAGAGCAAGATCACCTTGGGTTTTTCTCCAGGCTATCATTTCACAAACCCATTAATAATCCTTCAAATGCTATTGGCTGAACTACTATCAGCACTGAGAGTATGATAGTGATGAGAGATCTCTTTGGTCAAATAAATACGTAAAAGGCAACATTCTACTGAAGATTAACTATGAGCCATAATAAGTATGAGCATATTGACGACTCATGGAAATTCTGCAATAAGGAACACGTTTAACTTTGTGCCCCTTAACATTGCCATGGAACAGAATTTGGACGGAGCTCCAGAATGAAACTGACCAGTGGCACCTTAAGACTGCTGAGAAAAGATATAGATGCTCTCTGGTCCCCCTTGTCTTGAAAACATTCCACAAGGGCAGTTATAGCCCCTGCACTCCCCTTCCTCCCAGCCTGGCCTCAGGGAGGCCTTCTCCTTTGAGAACTTTGGCAGAGCCTGGGTTCTGAGGTTGGTACACCACACTCCCAGGCCTAGGCTTAACTTCGTAAGTCCCCTTGGACTTTTCTATCCACGTCTTAATGTGTGGCCGTGACCAACTTGAAAATGAGCCATTCAGTTCTGATCCCAAAACCAGGCAGCAAGACATTTTGTTTGGATTTTTAGATGATCTTTGGCAACGTTCCATATAAGTGGTTCCTCAAAAGGCAGTGAGTCATAAACATCCATTATGGACAGGAGCAACTGGGTAATAATAGAACGGACAAATGCTGTCCTTATGGCCTTTTCTCCAAAGGAGGGCTAAATTAAATTAAGTTTGTTCCCACAGTACATTACTCAGTGTTTCTTATGGGTATGAGAAACCTGGAAATCACAAAGCAAGCCACAGATGAATTACTGTTAAGTCAAGTCACACAACTAACAGAAAGTTAAATTCTTCTGTGGCCAAGCACAACATTTAGTCCCCAGTCTATCAAAGATCACCAAGCCAGGAAGTGACCACTTTAGAGCTACCTACTGTTTTAACCAACCAAAGATCTCAAAGCACTTTAAAAGTGTAAACTGATTAGGATTTTCACTTACTGGAGCAGAACCATACATAGGGTAGTGAAGTTGTTTTATGAGATCCCACCATCTTCTTTTTTTTCAGTTGCTAGGGAAGATAGAGTTAAGACTGACATTTTTTTAACCACTTAATTGAGGTATGATTGACATATATACATTTATACATATTTTATGTGTAAAACTTGATGAGTTTGGAAAAATGTATACAGCCATGAAACCATACCATAATCTATGCCATTAATATATCTATCACCTCCAAAAGTTTTCTCCCATCCTTTTTTATTTTTATTACTATTATTTTGTGTGTGTGTGTGTGTGTGTGTGTGTGTGTGTGTGTGTGTGTTAACAACAGTTAACATAAGATCTACCTTCTTAGGAAAGTTTTAAATATTCAATACAGTATTGTTATCTTCAGGCACGATGCTGTAGATTAGACCTCTAGGACTTATTCATCTTATATAACTGAATCTTAGTAGTAATCTTTGACTAAGACCTCCATATTTCCTCCTTCTCTCAGCCCCTGTTCCACTCTCTGCTTCTATTAGTTTAACTATTTTAGATTCCTCATATAAGTGATAACATGTAGTATTTGTCCTTCTGTGTCTGGCTTATTTCACTTAGCATAATGTCCTCCAGATTCATCCATAGTGTCACAAGTGGCAAGATTTCCTTCTTTTTAAAGGCCAATAATATTTTGTTATATATATATATATATAAAAC